TAATCCCGACTACTATAATCCCGATAATAAAAATCCCGACTACCATAATCCCTACAATTAAAATTCCTACTATATTGAAATCCAGATTATTTTAAAAATGTTATTGTAGAAATTTATAATAATAAAATTAGACATTGTCTTTTATTATTATAAATTTCTATAATAACATTTTTATGGTAGTCAGGATTTCTATATAGTCGGGATTTCGGTTGTCGGGCTTGCGATATAGACCCATATGTTTCTATGAGAAATAATCCTATGTTTATTTAGTTGCCTATGTTAAAATATCATATTTCAACAAAAAGTAGTTTTTTTTTTAAATATTTGTTAATTAAATTATATTACAATTAATCCCTTGATGAAGATCTGCAAAATCGCATAAATTATGGACGTATTTTAAGTTTTTTCTTTTATCAGAGAGTAAAGAAGGAAAAAAGTATCGTTTTTCGCTTGTTTAAAAAGCTTTCCGTGCAATTATCGGTGTGCAAACAGCATTAGCTTATTAAACACTTCGATATCGGAGAGTCTATCAAGAATTAATGCGCCTTTAGTGGGGATTTTATTAAACCGGCGCTGAACTGTGTGGAAAGCACACACACATACACACAAATTGTGTGAGAGAAAAGGAGAAAGAAATATACGGAAAGGAGGGATCATATCGAGGCCCATAAATCGCATTTCGGCTAATAATATTTCCATCCAGGAAAGCCCCTTGTTTTCCGACGTCCCATCGTTTTTTTTTCTCTCCCTTCTTCAATACACACTCACACGCACGGACCGGGAGAAAAAGGGAGAAGAAAATGAACGATAATAAAAAAATATTTTATCTTTTCGCCGCCCCCGCATTACTTATATATATATACGATGATAAAATCAAGAAGGGAAACCCAAAGGTTATCTTCAAGAGAGAAAAAACAAAGGAGGAGAAGAGAGAAGTAGGCTTCGTTTTTATTTAAAAGTGAAATTTTGATTAAATTTGATAAAACAAAAGCATAAAATTAATTTGAGCTTTTATTAAATAAAATATGATGTTTTTTTAGTTAAAAGTGAAATTTTGATTAAATTTGATAAAACAAAAGCATAAAATAATTTGAGCTTTTATTAAACCTATATTAATAATGATGTTTTTTTTTAGTTAAAAGCTAATGTATTTAATTAAAAACGACGTAAATATTTCAAGAGTCGAAAAATTACAACAAAAAAAATTATAAAAGATACAATAATCATGTTATGTCTATTATTCCTCAGTACTTTGTATTTCTTTCATTTCTTTATTTGTTAGCAAATTGCAAGAAATTGACAGTGATTTCAATAAAAAAAAGAGAGAGAAATATATCAATTTTGGATCAAGTAGACGAGAAAATGACAAATCCCATTGACATTGTTGGTTAATACTAGTATTGCTCCTAGATGTCACGTCTAATGTCAAAACAGTTTTTAAACTTTGTTAATAAGAAAAATTCAAAATCATATTTGATTATGATTGATGTAATTCAATTATTTAAATTTTTATATTTAACAAATATTGGTTAAATCATTAATTAAAGTTTGTATTCTTATATTGTATTAGAGAATTAAAATACTTGTTAAATTGTACTTTGTGTTTCTTTCATTTCTTTATTTTGTTAGCAAATTACAAGAAATCTATAATGAGACCACATTCATTTCATTTGTTTTACTTTTAGTTTTAATTGTAATTTTTATATTAAAAATACCGTTTTGGTGGTTATTGAAAATAAATACAGATAATTAGAAAGAATCTACATGAGTAGAAGAAATGAGTTTATTTTCAATAATTAATTGCATATTAATTGCTATTAATTATGATAATTATTTGAGTATTTGAGTATTGAATGTTGGAACAATTGAATGTTGTTTGGTCAAGAACTTACCTCCATTTTGGGTCGCCGTAGTAACCAACCTATGTGTCTGAGATCAGCGATGGCCCTGGAAGCCTCGTGGAGGGCGGAGGTCGTGAGGACGGCCAACGCAGAATGGAGGGTGTTAAACCAGGCCGCGGCCTCCGCAGCGTCCGATGCCCTCAGGACGCAGCTGTGGACGGCATCTGGCGAGTGCAGCTCCAGAACTCGACCCTCTGGAAAGAAAAAAAAACAGAGGTTGAAAAGATGAGATGACGATGGAGCGTCGAATAAAAGTAAATATTGTCGGAGATGAAAGCTCGTAATACTTCGGATGAACGTAAAGAAAGTTCTTCTATGTCTTGAAGAGTAAACCAGGAGAAAGAGAGATGAGAGAACGAAAGAAATAAAACCGGATGATTGAGGGTGCCGCTCTCGCGAAATGGGTTTCATTAAGGGTCAACAATGAATCTTCGGATTTAATCAAGTGCAGGTAGATTGAACGAACACGCTCGTCGTAATAATGAAAGAGTCTCGTCACTTTTGTTGAACTAAGCGATTTCTAGTCGAGTGTCGATACATCATAATTGGAACAAAAAGAATAAAAAAACGTTCTTAATCCAAGTAAATTTAGTGATTTCAATAAAAAAAAGAGAGAGAAATATATTAATTTTGGATCAAGTAGACGAGAAAATGACAAATCCCTTTGACAATGTTGGTTAATACTAGTATTGCTCCTAGATGTCACGTCTAATGACAAAACAGTTTTTTAATCTTTGTTAATAAGAAAAATTCAAAATCATATTTGATTATGATTAATGTAATGCAATTATTTAAATTTTTATATTTAACAAATATTGGTTAAATCATTAATTAAAGTTTGTAAAATACTTGTTAAATTGTAGTTGAACTAAACGATTTCTAGTCGAGTGTCGATACATCATAATTGGAATAAAAAGAATAAAAAAACGTACTTAATCCAAGTAAATTTAGTGATTTCAATGAAAAAAAAAAGAGAGAGAAATATATTAATTTTGGATCAAGTAGACGAGAAAATGACAAATCCCTTTGACAATGTTGGTTAATACTTGTATTGCTCTTAGATGTCACGTCTAATGTCAAAACAGTTTTTTTAATCTTTGTTAATAAGAACAATTCAAAATTATATTTGATTATGATTGATGTAATTCAATTATTTAAATTTTTAT